TCAACAGTAAAAAAAAAAAAACAAAACAAAACAATCCAATTAGAAGATGGGCAAAAGACATGAACAGACATTTCAACACAAAGGAGATACAGATAGCAAATCAGCATGTGAAAAGATGTTCAGCATCACATGCCATTAGAGAAACACAAATTAAAACCACAATGAGGCTGGACGCAGTAGCTCCTGCCTGTAATCCCAGCACTTTGAGAGGCCAAGGTGGGGGGATCCCCTGAGGCCAGGAGTTTGCAACTAGCCTGGCCAACATGGTGAAACCCTGTCTCTACTAAAAATGCAAAAATTAACTGGGCGTACTGGCAACACGCCTGTAATTTCAGCTACTGGGGAGGCTGAGGCAGGAGAATCGCTTGAACCCGGGAGGCAGAGGTTGTGGCGAGCCCAGATCGCATCATTGCACTCCAGCCTGGGGGACAGAGTGAAACTCTGTCTGAGAAGAAAAACAAAAACAAAAACAAAAACCACACACACACACTGAGAGCTCACTACACACCTACCAGCAACACCAAAATAAAATAAAATATAGTGGTTTGTTTGACAAGCATTATTCTCTTTTCCCACATGCAATAGATGGTATGAAGTTCACCCTGGTCCCAGGTAAATGTTGCCAAAGCCATTATGGGACCTATGTGCACAGTCACAAAGGTTTGAGAGGTTTCTGATTAGAGAAGCAACTTAGACCCTTGGAAGGGATCTTGGTGGAGGTAGTTCTTTGGTCTCACTCACCTCCCTTGCAGTGCAGCAAATCATTTCACTCACAGGCCTGAGTGGTTTTAGAACACCCTTGTAGGAAAGAATATATGTTACTCCCTTGGGTCTTTTTTCTTGGCCAGCAAAACTGAAGACCATGAAAGTAATAACACAGACCTATAGGCTTAGGGGCCCATAGAGGGCTCTAGAAGGAAAAAAAAAAGTAAATAAAAAAGAGATTTGGGGGTCTTAAAATTTCACTTAAGAGGCAAGGATATAACACCAAATTTTTGTAAGTTTGTTTGAAAATTGTAATCCCTGTGAACTGTTAAGCTGTGCTGACATAAAAAAAATAAAACAAAAAAAACCACCACTGACTTGCAGGTTGGCACAAATAGTCTAGTCTGGTCCATACTTGCAAATGAACTTTGTTTCATTTCTTGTTGCTTTGAACTAGTATTTATTTTGCAGAGAAGATTGAATGAGAGGGGAAGCAACATTTAAGGCAATTCTGAGTTATATATAATTTGACACTGTGAACCAAGAGTCATAAAAATATCTACACCAGGCCAGGTGTGGTGACTCATGACTGTAATTCCAGCACTTTGGGAGGCCAAGGTGGGAAGATCACTTGAGGCCAGGAGTTTGAGATCAGCTTGGGCAACATAGCGAGACCCTATCTCTACAAAAAAAATTTAAAAATTAGTCAAGTGTGATGGTGCTTGCATATACTCCCAGCTACTGGGGGAAGCTAAGGCAGGAGAATCTCTTGAGCCCATGAGTTTGAGGTTACAGTGAGCTATGACCATGTACTGCACTTCATTGCGGGTGACAGAATGAGACCTTATCTCTTAAAAAAAAAAAGAAAAAAGAAAAAAAAATCTATATTGTAATGTTGAAATTGACTGTAGGGGAATCTAACCTGTGAAATTAATTTAGAATGTGAAAAAAGCCATATAAACATTATTCATCTATTCATTGCTAAGTTATTGGTAGGAGTAAAAATTTGGAAGCAATTTGATGACCTCTAATAAGAATAAATTATTAAATTCTTATTTAATAAATTATTACATACATTTGCATATGATTATGAAGATTATGCAGCAACACGGAAAATCCTTAAAATGTCATGTCTTAAGAGAAAAGAGCTGAAGATTACACCATCCAAATGAAAAACATGGAAAGGAAATATATCAAATGTTAACAGCTGTGTTTGGGTAATAGGATGATTAGTTGTTTTTTTCTTCCTTTTCTCTCATGATTATTTTAATCAGTTTCCAATTTTATAAATTGGAAAATCAATTTAAAGCACCCAACTGAAAAAGACAAAAACTTAAAGCCAGAAAGAATGAAGTGCAGTTACTTGGAAGTTAGCTGTTGTGCGCATAGCTTCATGAGGCATTTCACAGGGGACGAAATCTCAAAACAGTTATTGCAATTTGTTAGGCGATTGCATTTATTCTGAGAGTGATTGGAGTGGTTGGAAAAACAGTGGAATAATAGCACGAGAAACTAGACCCTCCCACCCCCAGCTGCCAGTAATTCAACCTAGGGCTTTAAGAACCAATTTCTGTCCATTCAAAGTGTGCTTGGCCCTGGAGACTGCTTCCCCCAGGCCATTGTGATGGTGATGGCCTGGTCCCTTCAACAGCTCCCTGAGGACCAGGCACTTACTGGCAGAGCCTGGGCAGCTGTCTGGCGTGGTGTTGCGGGTCGTCGGAGACTCGCAGCCTGTGCAACGATGACCTGGAGGTGAACAGTCCCCTTTCTCATACCTACTCCCTGGAGGCAACAGCCCCCTCATTAGGGTACGGTTTCTAATCCAAACAACCATTAATCTTTCTCAGGGTTAAAAGGCCAGGAAAGCAATTTTTGCGCATTCGCGCTATTTTGATACTGTACTTGTCTGTATTTTACAAGAGCAGACTTACTTCATTGACCACTTGAAAACACCCCACAGCTGTGTCCACAGCTACTCAAACAATGCCAAGCCCAACATAGCCCTTCCTGTGCATAGAGAGAGACAGGAGTGCCAAATGAGCCAGCTATTTATTGTGGCACTCAACAATAACATAGAAACATGACCTATTTGGAACAAATCAGTATTCTGTATCAAAAAATAAATTAGGTATATGCATATATTTTAAGTGAAAATGCCACCATATTATGATAGTTTCATGAACATAGTATTTTTCAAACTCTTGAATACCATTCTATTAAATGTCCTTGCCTTGGTAAGTATTTTAATCCATATAAATGGAGCGGTGGCTCTTAAGAATTTTTCTTAAAGAAAATCTAAAGAAAAATAGGCTACAGAATTAGAAAAAATACACTTAATTATAGTCTCTGAAACATGAAAGTGTTTGATTTACAGAAATGGGCCTAATCTAGCTTATCCTCTTTTAATAGCTAGTGAGTCACAAAACTCACCTTTTCCATATTCTCTAATTGTAGGGGACAGAATGATGGGTATCAAGATAAAAACACCGAGGCTTCCTAAATCTGTTCTTCATGCTTGACCTTTAAATTCTTCCTCTACAGAGTCATCATCAATATGAATACCAAACACTCCTCTTGGTGAGTCACCTTTAGACGTCTGGCTACTGTTAGCAAAGGCATTGAACATTTGAGGCGGGGTGGGGGGAGAATGCATATTTGTATCTCAAATTATTTTACATCAAATTTTCCCAATTCAAAAATCTCACATTAAGGACCAGGTAATACATAAAACCTAGTCATAGTATTTTCTTTCTTTCTTTTCTTTTTTTTTGACAGAGTTTTGCTCTGTTGCCCAGGATAGAGTGCAGTGATGTGGTCTCCACTCACTGCAACCTCCACCTCCCAGGTTCAAGTGATTTTCATGCCTCAGCCTCCCGAGTAGCTAGGACTACAGGTATGTACCACCACACCCAGCTAATTTTTGTATTTTTTGTAGATATGGGGTTTCACCATGCCACGCTGCCCAGGCTGGTCTCAAAACTCCTGGACTCAAGCAATCCTCCTGCCTCAGCCTCCACTGTGCCCGGTCTCATAGCATTTTCAACCTGGAAGAGGCCTTGGTTGAATGAACTAAGAATCAGACAAAACTGAAATAAAATCCAGGGCCCTTGAACCCTAGCCTAATGCTCTTCTAATAATGTCATATCACATTGCGGAATGTATTATAAGTGTTCTCAAACTTTAAAAAGAAACAACAACAAAAACAACTTATTCACCAGAGGATTGGTCTCTAATATTTTACCCTTGTGGATTTGTTTTTACCTTTTAAATATGTTACTAGTATTTTTATAAAATAAGATGAATCTGACCTAAAACATTAAAATGACATTTTTCTTTCCTCTCCCTTCCCTTTTGAAAAAATTAGAAAAGTAATACAAGCTTGTAACAACTCCAAACAATACAGAAGTTTATAAAATAAAAAATGAGGCTGGGAGTGGTGGCTCATGCCTGTAATCCCACCACTTTGGGAGGCCAAGGTGGGAGGATCACTTGAGCTCAGTGAGTTTGAGAACCAGCCTGGGCAACATGGCGACACCCTGTCTCTACAAAAAATACAATAAATGAATAAATAAATGAAATAAATAAATAAATAGCCAGGCGTGGTGGTGCATGCCTGTAGTCCCAGCTACTCAGCAGGTTGAGGTGGGAGGATCATGCCTGTATTCCCAGCACTTTTGGAGGTTGAGGCAGAAGGATTGCTTGAGGTCAGGAGTTCAAGACCAGCCTGGTCACACGGTGAAACCCCATCTCTACTAAAAATACAAAAATAGCCAGGTGTGATGGTGGGTGCCTGTAATCCCAGCTACTCAGGAGGCTGAGGCAGGAGAATTGCTTGAACCCGGGAGCGTAGTGAGTGACGCGATGATCTGCATATCACTGCACTCCAGCGACTTGGAGGGGCGAATCAGAGAAGCGGACTCAGATACCGTCAAACAAAAGAGAGAGAAAAAATAGGTATAGAGAGAAGATAGAAAAAACAAAAAAAATAAATCCAAAATAAATAAAATAAAGTGAACATTTTCTCTTAGTTCTCCACACCCCAAATTCCATTTCTCCAGTGATAACGTTTAACATTTTGATGTGCATCTTCCTTTTGTATGTATATGTAGATATATGTTTATGTATAGTTGAAAAAATAAAAATCAGATCATACTAATATATAATTATTCAGTAGCTTACTTTCTGCAAGCTTCCCAGTATATTATGGACACATTTCCAAGAGATTTACTTCATCTTTATTAACAGTACCATAGTATTCCACTGTCTAGTATACTATAAATAATGAACGCTTAAGGTTGTTTCAAATATTTTATTATTAGAAAAGTGCTGCCAGAAACATCCTTGCCATGCTTCTGTATGTACTGGTGCTAATGTTCCTATCAGACAAATTTCTAGACATGCAGTGAATTACTAGGCATAGGAAATATAATTTACACTTTTGAATTTTTGCTCATTTGCTCATGAAGCAGGGGCAGAGTATTCTGTGTGGGGTTTGGTACAGGAACACTGACCCCTGAAGTCGACCCTGGGGGTCTAACATAGTGGTCATTTGTCCAGCCTGTTTTATGGAAGGAGCTGGACTCTAAGCTTTGGGGAATTTCTTGCAAGATAAATTTATATCCCACCTATACTGGTAACAGTTAAGTTATGCCAAAGATGAAAAGACAAAGCCCTAGTTAAATCAGCTCTTGCTCTCAGCACTACAATGGCCAGTGGTAATTCTTTCAGTTAAAATGACAACTAATACAGTTTCATTGAAGCTTCAAACAGGGCAGCCAGATCCTCTTCTGACTGGGGACGGGGTGCAAGCTTGGTGACCCTTTCCTGAAACAGTAAATGAAAGGAGTTACCCAGAGCTTTGAAAAGGCAGTTTGTAAAAGCTACAAAGTTATGGAAATTAACTTGGTCATAAGAATAAATGACTTGATAAATGCTGTATCTTTAAAAACGGTATTTCTTGTATGCTTCATATGACTGGACCCGCAGCTCAGAGGTTTATCACATATCACATCATACCTCTTTCCCCACAGAGCTTTCAAAAGCCACTGCCCTTTGCCTTATGCCCTGGCAACAGCCTTCTGCCCAAACCAACCTTGGGAAAAACACCCCTATCATGACAAAACTAGGTCAGTCAACAACCTCTGCCAGGTTCTCCGTACGCACAGAGCTCTGTCCTGGGCACAACCAGTGCTGTCAAGGAAGACAGAACTGGGTCATCCCCAACATCTAAGACTATGTATTTTGCAACTTGGACTTAAGGTATATTCAAAAGGACTTCAGTAGAACATTAACTTTCATGCTATGTGCAACAAGTGACTCCATTTTTTTCTATTAACTAAGGTTTCATCTCTGCGTTCCCAAGTAAATCCAGTGATTTTTTAATTGCTCCAACGATTATTGAGTCAATTCAGCAAAGACACCCAGCACATCCTACTTCTGTTTATATTCTGGTCAGTAGCTTCCCGGGGACAGGGGCTAAAAGGTACAGCGATGACTCCCCTGGTGCCTGTATGAAACTGAGGAATGTCCAATTTGAGGTTCCATTTTCACGGGTCTGTGGGCATGTTTTCTGTTGCTGGCATGTGTTTGGGAGTGTAGCTGGTGGAAGGGAAGCTTGTGAGGCCAGGGGCTCAGCTGTGTGCGCTGCTTTCTGCCCTGCGCCTACCGAAGGGCTTTACACAGTAAGTAGATGCTCAACAGTTATCTGCTGAATTAGTGAAGATGGTGTGGAGGGGATACTGGCATCTCAAAGTTCACATATACAAGATAGAACTCTGACTCTCCCACCCCACCGCTCCTCCCATTTTCTCATCTCAGAAATGACACCCAATAGCTCAGGCAAAACCCAGAAGCCAACCTTGATTCCCCTTTCCCTTGCTCTGCAAGTTCAACTCATCAGCAAGAGTGTCAGTCCTACCTCCAAAATGAAGCCCCAGTCGGAGCGCTTCTCACCTCCTGTGGTACCACAACCAGCATCCAGGGCACTGCTATCACTCACCTGTCCAGCTTGAAAACCTTCCTAAAATGTCTGTTTCCACTTTTGCTCCATTCTTGCCCCGCAGAGGTCATTCTCCCCACAGCAGCCAAAGTGATTTTTTTCCAGTATAAACTGAATCCTACCATTCCTGTGCTTAATGCTCGCAGATAAATTCCCGCGGCAATTACAACAAAACCATGGCCTCTAAGGCTACCCTGATCTGGCTCTGTTTCCCACCCCAGCTCTAACACCTCACTTAGTCCCACCATCCCTTTTAAGTTCCTTGAACATGCCTACCTTGACCCTGCCCCAGGGCCTTCCCCTCTGCCTGGAAAGCATTGCCCTATCATCCTGCACCTTCCCAACAGCCTGGCTGGAGTTCTCTCCACACTTTCCCCATGAGATCACTCTCTATTTCATTATGCAGATTTTCCTTCATACACTAATCATTATCTGAAATGATTTCATTTGTGTCTTATTTATAGATGTTCACTGTCTCCCCTCACTAGAAGGTAAGCTTCACAAAGGAGAAAAGGGACTTTATTTTCCTTCTGTTAGTGTACCATACAATGCATGGTATACAGTAGGCACTCAATCAATATTTGTCAGGTAAAAGGAATGAAAAGAAGGATGGATGTATTCAAAAAATTCACTCAAAATGGATAACAAACTACATGTAAGAGCTAGGACCCTAAAACTCTTAGAAGAATAATTAGGGAAAAATCTTCATGATGTTGGATTTGGCAACGATTTCTTGGATGTAACACTGGAAGCACAGGGAGTCCAGTGCGGTGGTTCACACCTATAAGCCCAGCACTTTGGGAGGCTGAGGCAGCCGGATCACTTGAGGTCAGGAGTTCGAGACCAGCCTGGCCAACATGGTGAGACCCTGTCTCTACTAAAAATACACACACACACACACACACAGACAGCTGTAATACCCCCTACTCAGGAGGCTGAGGCAGGAGAATCACTTGAGCCTGGGAGACGGAGGTTGCAGTGAGCTGAGACTGCACCACTGCACTCCAACCTGGCCAACACAGCAAGACTCTGTCTCTAAAAAAAGAAAAAAAAAGAAAAAAGAAAAAGCACAGGGGAAAAAAAACCCAGATAAACTAGACTGAATAAAAATTTAAAACTTTTGTGCATCAAAGGACACTGTCAAGAAAGTGAAAAGACAACAAAATTTTTAAAAATTGCAAATCATATATCTGATAAGGGATTAATATTCAGGATATAAAAATTATTCTGGTTGGGCGCGGTGGCTCATGTCTGTAATCCAAGCACTTTGGGAGGCTGAGGTGGGAGGATCACGAGGTCAAGAGATCGAGACCATCCTGGCCAACAAAGTGAAACCCCGTCTCTACTAAAAACACAAAAATTAGCTGGGTGTGGTGGCGTGCACCTGTAGTCCCAGCTACTCAGGAGGCTAAGGCAGGAGAATTGCTTGAACTCAGGAAGTGGAGGTTGCAGTGAGCCAAGATCGCACCACTGCACTCCAGCCTGGTGACACAGCGAGAATCTGTCTCAAAAAAAAAAAAAAAAAAAATTTCTTCTTGCAACTCACCAACAAAAAACCTCAAACAGCTCAATTCAAAAATGGGCATAGGACTTGATTAGTTATTTCTCCAAAGAATATATATAAATAGCCAATAAGCACATGAAAAGATGCTTACCATCCTTAGTCATCTGAGAAATGCAAATCAAAACAGTAAGATACCACTTCACACCGTTAGAATGGCTATTCTACACACACACAAAAAGAAAAATAACAAGTGTTGTTGAGGATGTGAAGAAATTGAAGCCCTGGTGCACTGTTAATGGAAATGTAAAATGGTGCAGCCACTACAGAAAACAGTTCAGCAGTTCCTCAGAAAGTTAAACATAGAGTTACTACATGATACAACAATCCTACTCCTAGGTATGTACCCCCAAAGAATTGAAAGCAGGGACTCAAGTAGATACTTGTACACCAATATTCATCACAGCATTATTCATGACAGTCAAAAGGTGGAAACAACCCAAGTGTCTATCAATAGGTAAATGTATAACCAAAATGTAGTATATCCATACAATGGAATATTATTCAGCCATAAAAAAGGAATAAAATTCTGACACATGCTACAACATGGATGAACACTAACGGCACTGTGCTGGGTGAAATGAGCCAGTCACAAAAGGACAAATATTGTATGATTTCGCTTACATGAGGTATCCAGGATAGGCAAATTCATGGGGACAGAAAGTAGGACAGAGGTTCCCAAAGGCTAGGAGAAGGGGAGAATGGGGAGTTCGTGCTTAATAGACATACCACTTGTTTGGCATGATTAAAAAAAAAGTTCTGAAAATGGATAGTGGTGATGGTTGCACAACATTGTGCATGTACTTAATGGCATGGAATTGTACACTTAAAAATGGTTAAAATCTCCGGGAGGCAGAGCTTGGAGTGAGCCGAGATCATACCACTGCACTCCAGTCTGGGTGACAGAGTGAGACTCCGTCTCAAAAAAAAAAAAAAAAAAAAAAGAGGTTAAAATGGTAAATTTTATGTTATACATATTTTATCACAATTTAACAGATAGTTAAAGAAGAAGGAAGGATAGAGGGACAGATGAGAGAGGGGAGGGGTGGGGGACAATGCCGATGAATATGGGTGAGGTAAAGACAATGTCACATCCCAGCAGATTTTTAAGAGACCCTAAGGAATTTTGGAAATCCATAGCAAGGCAGAGGGTCTCATTATGTATATGTTTGTGCAGGGTCAAGAACTGAAGTTCAGTGTTTGCCATAACTGCAGATGACGGCAAGTTACTTTGTTCATAATGGGAGAGAGTCTTATCTGATAAGCTTAAAGGCCCTTGACATGATCCTGTTTATCTTTGGTGGAGCAGTGCAGGACTCTTAGAAGTACTTGAAGCCAATCCTGAGTTCAGTTTCTGTTTCGCATTTCTGGCCCCCAGTGATTGGTTAAGTTTTTGATATGCCCCTACACATATCAGCTCTGCCATATAAAAGCTAAACTCTCCCAGAATTAAGATGTGTTAAGCAATGATGTGCTATTATTTATGGGCATGTAAGACTGAAGGACAACTCATTAACATGGGCACGAAATAAATTCAGACATCTACTTTTAGCACATTCATAAAATAACAACATTTCAGCTGGCCTGTCTACCAGGGAGTGGAAGTGCTCATTTGGGTAGACAGCGCTCCTCAGTAATGAAATGTTTTGATTTGAAAAGTAAATGTTTCTTTCCAGGGGTTTCAGAAATCCAGCTTGGAAGATTAATATATTCTTGCCTGCTCCCCTTGCAGCCTGGCTATGGCAGTTGAAAGCCTCTGTACACAGGGCTGCTATTAGCTGCCACCAGTATGAGCTGTGTTTGGTCAAGAATACTGGCCTAGTTGTTCCTTCCAGAGAAAACCAATCCCTCACTGCTAAACAGAAAAGAACCTTCATCAAATGTCAACTACATTGAATAACCTTTCTGGCGATGTTCTTTGCAGGAGCCAGTATATTCTCACTACCTTAATCCTGGAGATGCTAATAAGTGAAGATTAGTCTACTGCGTGTGTAAAACTCTGAAATGGCCACAGCATTCCTGTAAAACAGTCACTGCCATCAAACAAACAAACAAAATTCCATAGTAGTTATTAATCTGCAAAATGGACAAGCTTATTTCTAAGATTCCTACCACAGTCCTATCAATCTGTGAATATATGTATATCTCAATCACGTAGACTCCAAGTGAACCTAGAGCTAGTTAATTAAAATTAACTCTATTTCTCTGAATCATGAAAACATGATCGGAGGGAAAAAGGCAGCAGATGCCTTAGGGTGCTTTATGAATACAGCTTGAGGAAAATCTGGCTTCCCACTTTAAGACACAACTTACATCCAAAAGATTCCATTTACCTCCCATCTTTTGTGAAATTAAGAAATTTGTTTTGTCCAATTAAAGTTTTGCTATCTGTGATTTCCCAGCATCGCATGTGCACGGAGGCATTCAGAGTGGTATCTAATCAACTTGCTATTGAGTGTTCATTGAGTGCTATTTGAGTGGTCTCAAATGTTAGGCTGGATCTGCTGCTGTGTGGAATCGCTTCGAAAGTGACAGTCTGGGCCGTGTATGGTGGGTCACGCCTGTAATCCCAACACTTTGGGAGGCCATGGTGGGCAGATCACCTGAGGTCAGGAGTTCGAGACCAGCCTGGTCAATATGGTGAAACCCCGTCTCTCCTAAAAATACAAAATGTAGCCGGGCATGGTGGTGTGTGCCTGTAATACCAGCTACTCGGGAGGCTGAGGCAGGAGAATCACTTGAACCCGGCAGGCAGAGGTTGCAATGAGCCAAAACTGCACCAATGCACTCTGGCCTGGGCAACAAGAGTGAAACTCTGTCTCAAAAACAAAAAACCAAAAAAACAAACAAAAGAAAGTGACAGTCTGACCGCAGTAGAATTAGAACAGTAAACACCTGTCAGTGTGCACTGATGACCAGCAATCAAATGGCCAAGGATATCAGACAGTTTCATCTGAAAATCATGGATACCATTCTTGGAGGTGGACACACACATTTTCCTGAACAATTTCCTGGGCTAAACAAGCAGAACCTTTTGGAGGGCCCCTGGCAGGGTGGACAGTGTCACTGGGACCATGCCATAAAGCCAGAAGCTACATTAAAATTGCGGTGACTGCCAGGTACTGTGACTCATATCTATAATCCTAGGACTTTGGTAAGCTAAGGCAGGAGGATTTCTTGAGCTCAGGAATTCGAGACCAGCCTAGGTAACACAGTGAGACCTCATCCGGACAAAAAGTAAAAAAAAAAATTAGCCGGGTGTGGTGGCACACACCTATAGTCTTGACTACTCGGGAGGCTGAGGACAGAGGATCACTTGAGCCTGGGAGGTCAAGGCTGTGGGGAGCTATGATTATGCCACTGCACTCCAGCCCTGTCTCTCCCCTGGGAAAAATTCACTATGACCATTCAGTGTAGGGTGTTCCTGAGCTTTCACGGCTCCCCTGCCTTTGGTTGCGTCCTAGTCAGTATAAGGAAACTTCAAAAAGTTATCCCCAGTCAGCCATTAACGCTTAGCTAGACAGAAGACTTAGGAGGAGAGCAATGAAGGTACATGTTCATTTAATATGTTTACTAGCCTGTGCTAGGTGCAATGGAAAGTGGATGAGCCAAGCAGACAGATTCCTGCCCTCACAGAACTTACAGGCTGGTAGGTTTGGATAAAATAACTGTGAGGGCCTTAGAGGGTCTGATTTTTTTAGTGATTTGGTCCCTTGGACTTATGGGTTAGAATTAAGGGTTAGTCCAGGGTCTCTGCTATACTTTGAGACTCCTTTGTTTCTTGTTCATTTCTATTTCTAGATGCAATTGAATTCATTGAGCCTGAATCCAAATCAGGGAAACTGGTGACTCATGGACTACGTTTCATTTGTGCATTGGAAACCAGGGAATTCAACACAAACATCCAGATTGCTGATTTTTCTTGAGAGTTGGAAGTTCTACCAACACTGGGACCTGAATTTCTGCTTGGTGATGATAAACTGTAGCTGAGCTGCTCAACCAATTAGATGGTTCACAAATATTATCTTAAGTGAATAGTGAGGCTATCAACATTCTAAGCACTAGCAAAGTGGGGAGGAAGAAGCTACTTTGAGGCCCTTGCCTACTTGGAGTGGGGTGAGGGAAAAGCACCAGCACTTGTGGCAAGCGGGCTGCTGTGTGAGTGGATGTTTCAGCTGCTAACTCTGTTTCATGGTCAAGGAGAGATCCACAATGCCTTAGCATGTGGCAGAAGATCCTTATCCTCATACCCTCATAGCATTGAGGTGACCTCTGCCTTTCCCATATTGGCCAGGAGGACTAAAGGAGTATTCTGGGCATGGTGACTATGATGTGGTCCACCAATAAAGTGCTCATGCTCTGAGCTCTCTGCTTTATAGTGAATTGCAATGAACAGGACCTTGGCCTATTAGGATCTGATGTGCTAGCTCAAGAGAGGTCCACTGAGGGATCAGAGCTCTTCATGAGAACCTCGGAAGAGCAAACTTTACACCTAGTATGACTCTACTGAATTAGGGATGCAGCTCCATTTACATTCTTCACAAACATTTAAGAAATGAAACCAGATCCATAGTGACACAGGTATGTATCAAGTATACAACCTCCCACATTCATCAAAAGCAATTTGGTGATAGTGTTAGTTGAAAGGCCATGCCTATTCTTCACAAAATAGTAGAGATCTGTAACGTTTTTACAATGGAAAATAATATTGGTGGTCCTTTTGGAACAGCTTCACATAGTTATTTATAGGAGCCCTTCAAAGAACAGAAATGGGGAAAAGGGAAATTTTGCCATAGTTCAAGATCAGTTTGGTTGTTTTTGCCTTGAATTTTCATCAAGGATCCATCCCTTCATGAAAATTTTCATAAAAGCCTCACCTCAGCTACAGCTGTATGGATGAACAGAAAGGCGAGGGCCTGGCTCTGTTGCACCAGGAAAGGACAGAACTGCTGTCTGCTGTGGAAGAGATCCAAGAACCACCGGGGACCCCTGGTTTCCATCCCCGCTGGCCCACCACCAATGGAGCATGTCTTTCTGGGGGCGCTGGACTCCTTCGCAGGGAGTGAGGAGCGTGCCGGTCTCTTACCTGGGGCAGCGTCCCTTTCACTAGTGCGGGGATATCAGCTTTGGAGTAACCAACGGCTGCTAGGCCATCATCAACATCCAGATCAAATAAGAATTTGCGGAGCGTGTCTGCTAACACCAGCCCTGCATCTTGGATCCTGGTAGTGCGGGTATCAGCTCCTAGAAGACATAAAGCGCTGACTGTAGGGAGAGGTGAAGAAACTGGCTCTGGGTGGTGTTCAGCCACAAGATCAGTGAATACACCATGCACACCCACGGGGTCTCCCTAACGCCCAGCACGGGGCCATGGTGTGCCTCCCCAGGGGGGCCAGAGTTGGCTGGGGAAGCTCACTTAGCTCTGATATTTCAGAGGGGCTCCAGGTCCTACATGCTGGCCCCTTGTGTGGTGGGAAGAAGAGGAACAGAGATAAAAAAGAGAGGTGCAGAAGGAGGCAAGAAATTCAGCTGGTGCTAGGATGGAGGAATGAGTATTTGAAGAACACATAGCTTATGTAATTTCAAGGCTTGGAATTTGCTGACATCTAGAGGTGTACGATATGCTCAACGTCTTTTCCCACAGCAACATCTTAGAAAAAGATAAATCCTTTGCAAACACCCTGTGAGACAAGCTTACAGAAGTACAAAAGCTCCAAAATTAACCACCAAAAAGGAAGAAAATAAGCACGACAAAAATGGATTATGTGTGAACAGGGAAGAAAATTTTTCTCCTCTATAGCTATAAAACTTTTAATTTTAGATTCTGTTGCCAAAGGGCAGGGTAGGTTCCTCTAAATAAATATTGTAGAACCAGCTGGGCAGGACCAAGAATATGAAGGCTCTCAGAAAACAGTGTTTCATATGCAGATAATAATGGTATTGATGAAAGAAGATTCATAAGGGCAGAATTTTTACATGATTAGTAATTAGTAATTAAGAGGCCGGGCCTGGTGGCTCACATCTGTAATCCCAGCACTTTGGGAGGCTGAGGCAGGAGGATCACTTGAGTCCTGGGGTTCAAGACCAACGTGGGAGTGAGACCCTGTCTCTATTAAATATATGTATGTGTGTATATATATACACACACACATATATACACACATATATACATATACATATATACATATACATATATACATATATACACATATAAATATATATGTATACACGTATATATGTATATATGTGTGTGTGTATATAATAAAAATTTAAAAATGCACATAATCATGGAAATGGCAATCTGGAAGACCCATGCAGGAGTTTCTGCCCTCAGGCAGGGTGACAAAGTTCCCAGAGGAAGGGAACTGATTTCACAACCCTTAGCACCCTGCATTCTCATGTATTCTAGCCAAACACATTCACTGCCAAGAAGTAAAGCCCTCTGCAGAGTGTAGCATTATATGAAGTCTATGCAAAATGCCTCCCACTGTAGTCTAAGTTCACTTTCTCCTGTATTGTTCAAAAGGAGATCATGACTCCTATCACCTCCATATTGAAGCACATTATTAAATTGGTTTTTAGCTTTCTCTTCCATGACAGTGAGAACTCTTAGGAATCCAGGAAAAGGTATGAATAGAACCAGATACGGGGTTGGCTGGGAGAGCAGCCGGATGAAAGGTAAACCTTGCCTGACAAGACCAGTCTGTATTACCCAGCGGCAGCTAAAATATGGATTAGGTGGAGTGGTGACACATGATACAAAGTTTATGAAGTTTTAATGTTCCTGGGAATGCTGCCATAAAACACACCATTGAAACCTCTGCATTTTCCTATGAAGTGTTACAGAAAAAAAGAGATGGTAGGAAAAAGAATATATCAGTCTAAAGCTAAGAAAATCTAAGATGACATGGAGAATCAAAATATTTCATAGTATGGGATAGCTAAGTGTAGATAACATTAAAATTTCCCATTCAGGAAGGAAGAATCAGTGGGTTCTTCCAGCCTGGAATCTAACAGAGGAACTCCCTTCTCAGCAGTGTTGCCAGTTGCCTGGAGTGTTAACTTTAAGTTCTCTAAGATTTTCCCATTTACCATAAATGTAGCCTATGATCTGAGCTCTCCACTTATTTACATGGTTTGAATATTTACAAAGGTAGCTGAGTCCCAAAATATGGCCGAACAACATCTCCAGTCCGAAAGAGAAAAGGGACACAGATTCTTGGCAAAGTTGCACTGTTTCCCCTCAGCACCCTCTGGGAAATGGAGCCCCTGGCCCCTCTCTGCCCTGGGCTTGTGTCATTAACATTCCCAGCACAGCACCTGGGGCTCAGCGGGAGCTCCTGCAGAAGGATGTCTGCGGTCCTTCCTACCTCCCTGGAAATAATCTCTCCAACGGCTGGGCTAGGAGAGCATAATGAAGTTTTCTTTTTAGCCTTTCCCTTCCTGCCCTAACTAAACACAAGTGGCGGAATAAGATGTTTTGCAAGTTAATAAAATATTCAAGTCTACTTAAAAGAGTTCTTGTATTAGCAAAACACCAACATTTTACTTACCACTAAAGCTATCCTGAATATCATTTTATTTCTGGTAAGATTCAAAAGGTACTGTGGATGTCTTATTATTGACATTATTTATTCTACAGTATGGCAAACAGACTCCTCTTTCAGGATATTTTTATAAAGTTTCTAATTGATCAGGAGCTTTGCAGGCTTTGATGAAAAAAGTTTCCAGTTGTTTTGATTCTCTATAATTGGGAATTTACTCTTGCTTTCTGATATAGATTCATTTTATTATTGAGCATAGCAAAAGTTATAACCTTAAAAAACAAAAATAATTATACTTTCTCGAGATAAAAACAGGAAACAGTATTACTACAAACGTAACAGATTCAATACTCTCAGAAGCATAATAATGACAGAATTTTAGTGCTAGATAAGGCTTTGGTCAAGTCACTGACATTTTAAATCAATATATTTATGTTTAAACGTGTTTTTAAAGAAACAGGATCTCACTGTATTGCCCAGGCTGGTCTCAAACTTCTGGGCTTAAGCTATCCTCCAGCCTCAGCCTCCCAAAGTGTTAGGATTACAGGTATGAGCTGCTGTGCCCAGCCTGACATTTCATTATTAAGCTATTGCAAAGCAATATTTTCTGGTATTGTCCTTTATGGTTCTTTTTTTTTTTTTTTTTTTGAGAGGGAGTCTCACTCTGTCTCCCAGGCTGAAGTGCAGTGGCATGATAACAGTTCACTGCAGCCTCAACTTCCTGGGCTCAGGTGATTCTCCCACCTCAGTCTCCTGAGTGGCTGGGACTACAGGCTTGCACTACCATGCCCGGCTAATTTTTTTTTTTTTGTAGAGATGGGGTTTTGCCATGTTGCCCAGGCTGGTCTCGAACTCCTGGGCTCAAGCGATCCACCCACCTCGGCCTCCCAAAATGCTGAGATTACAGGTGGGAGCCACCGTGCCTGGCCGGTCACAGAATTTTGAGTAATAGCTCATACCCAGTATTTCTGCTGTCTCCAGGTGTCGCTCTGGAAACATCTGGGCCGTGAAAGTGAACACCGCTGGGGACGTGAGCACCACAGAAAGGCCATGGGGCTGGGGAGAAAAGAAACACAGTGACCAGCAGATGACAAAGCTGTTCTTCCCTGCGTATTCTAGATATTAAGTTACTTTACCCCATACTCTGAGCAGGCGAGAATTGGCAAATATATTATGGAAATTGGGAGGATTATAATATTTAATTAAATAATTTATTCTTATGATTTTACCACCAGTGGGTGATCCACATTGTAATCCTTTGCTTTATACGTCTTCACTAAACCTGAAATTGGGTAAGACATTCCATGGCTAGAAAAGAAAGAAAATCCTTATGTTGATACACAGTTATCAATATTCAAGTCAACAATAGAAAGATACTGTTATGGGGATGCCTGTCACAGTCTCTAGACAGTATCATTACCTGAAAAAGTGATATGTGCTGTTTTCTTGGATATAAGGATATATTACAATGTCTAGGATATGTATGTAGTGCACTCATTAACAAAACCTCTGAAAATGGTCAAATTCAAATGCTTATGGAATTCTATGATATTAAAAAGTATTGATCCAGAAGTAACTCCCTGAACCCATTAATTAACATTATGATCTCAAAGACTGGGGAATTCACTTTGAAGTTTCTGTAATAAGCTCTGGGCATGTGTTTTCTGTTTTTTCCTGGCAGCTCCTTGGCAGTGTGCTCCCAGATGATGTCAGGGGAATTTTGTGAGTCAGGATGTGCTGTATTTGATGACGTGCAAGCTTGACCCACCAGTGATCTGCCCCACCAGTAACTGACAGATCCCTTCAAATGTTACATACTCATGGAGTCCAATCAGAAATGATTATTCTAGCCTGACAGGCTATGTTAATCAGTTCTGGTTTGACTGATTTCTCTGGCCTGAATTCTACCCTAAGGATTTGTTTAGATTTAGTTGACATCAAGAAATGGCATCATGGTTTTTGTTTTTACTGAAAAATTCTTTTTCTTTTCTTTCTTTCTTTCTTTTTTTTTTGTGATGGTATCTCAATCTGTCACCCAGGTTAAAGTGCAATGGTGTGATCATAGCTCCATGCAACCTTGATTCCTGGGTTCAAGTGAGGAAGGATCCAGCCACCATGCTCAGTGAAAAAATTTTTATATCCTCCTGAAATATTGATGAACAAATAGGAAAATATTATAGTTTTTTGTTGTTTTTGTTGTTTGAGTTTTTTTGAGACAGGGTCTCACTCTGTTGCCCGGGATGGAGTGGTGCAATCCTGGCTCACTGCTGCCTTGACCTCCCTGGCTTAAGTGATCCTCCCTCCTCAGGATGACTGAGACTACAGGTGTTTGGGTAGCTGGGACTACAGGCACGTACCACCACACCTGGCTAATTTTTGTATTTTCTTTTGTAGAGATGGGGTTTCACCATGTTGTCCAGGTTGGTCTTGAACTCCTGGGTTCAGTTCAAGGGATCCGCCCAACTCGGCCTCCCAAAGAATTGGTATTACAGGTGTGAGCCACCACGCCCAGCCATGGGTATTTCTTCAGGCTAGATTCCTAGAAGTGAATTGGTGGGCCAAGGGGCATAAATATTTTTCAGGCTCTGGGCACATTTTGCTCACTTACTTTTTGGAAAGGTGTTGCCAATTTATGCTCCCATCAGTGGTAGATCATCAGAGGCTGATCATTCCTTGCGCTCACCCTAGCAAAGGCCTATTCTTAATTTTCAAAGTTCAATGGTTTTCAAATTTAAAGCAACATACCAATAAAGTTTCAATCAAAGAGATTAAGTCTGGGCTATTGACAAGCATTCTGATCCCTTTCTTTTGTGAGAGATTGGGGGAAAACATCCTACATTTAAGTTTAAAAAATCCACAACACATGGTGAGTATGTGGAGAAATCAGAACCTTCACCCACTGCAGGTGGGAATGTAAAGCAGCACAGATGCCGTGGAAAACAGTCTGTCAGTATCTCAAAATTTAAACACAGAATTACCATATGACCCAGCAATTCCGCTCCTACATATATAACAAGAGAAAGGAAAATCTATGTCCATAGAGAAGAAACCAGCTAGATACAAAAGACCACATATTCTATGATTCCATTTACATGAAATGTCTAGAATGGGGAAGTCTACAGAGATAGAAAGTAGGCTGGGTGCAGTGGCTCATGCCTGTAATCCCAGCACTTTGGGAGGTGGAGGTGGGAGGATAACTAAGATCAGGAGTTTGAGACCAGTCAGGCCAACATGGTGAAACCCCGTCTCTCCTTAAAAAACATTTAAAAATTAGCTGGGTGGTGCATATCTATAATCCCAACTAATCAGGAGGCTGAGGCAGAAGAATTGCTTGAACGTGGGAGGTGGAGGTTGCAGTGAGTCAAGATTGTGCCACTGCACTCCATCCTGAACAAGAGTGAGACTCCGTCTCAAAAATAAATAAATAAATAAATAAATAAATAAAAATTAAAAAATAAAAGAAAAAGAAAGTAAACTGGTAGTTGCTAAGTATTGGGGAAGGTGGGGGGCTTGGTGGATGAGAGCTAGGAGGTATGGGATTTCTTTTTGGGGTGGTAAGATGTTCTAAAATTGATTGTGGTGATGGTGGCATAACTTAGTGAATATATTAGAAACTAATGTTCTGTACATTTTAAATGGGTGAGTTGTATATAGTATGTGAATTATACCTTAAAAACATGTTATTTAAAAACCCAGTAAACCACATTCAATTTAAAAATACATTTAGGTTTCTACTTTAGCTGGTGGTGGAAAAAAGAAAAAAAGAAAAAGAATACATTTAGGAACATAAAGGAATACATTTAGGAACCACATTCAATTTAAGAATACATTTAGGTTTCTTGGTAGTGGAAAAAAAAAAAAAGAATACATCTAGGAACATAAAGTTAAATTTCTTCCTTCTATAGCATATTTAAATTTTACCACCTGTCCTGAATTATAAACATTAAACAAAATTTTAAAGCAATAGCTTGAGTAAAGAAATGAAATCTCAGATTTGCTCACCACAGATGAACACCAGCATTTCCAAAGCCAATGCCAGCAAAAGCACTTGCCAAGTGCATATGAGACCTTGCTTCAAGATCATCGGGATTTCTGACAGCCCTGTGAATGATATAAACACCTAACAATAACACGTCAACATTGGCAATTCCTACAGAATAAGGAGCTGCCTTAGGGAAAGATATAGGGGCAAAAAAGAAAAAAAAGAAATGCTACTAGGTAGAAAGAAAAATTAGGCAAGTTATTCAAATGATGCCTTGTCTTCTAAATGAAAACTGAAGGGAAACATATTTTCTCATCAACCGTTTCAGCAAAAGCATAATAAATACGCTGTCAGCTGCTCATGTGATGTAAAAGCACCGGGGGAGGCAACACGCTGCTCCCTGGATGGTGAGGGCCACTCCAGGAAGGTGCCCTGAGACTCATTCTTCTTCATTTGTCAGTGCTGTTGACGGCCCTGTGAAGGGATGTAAACATTCTCAGACGCCTGGGGCTACCTGCCAGCCAGGCCAGCGCTCTTTCTCTCTGGGACACTGCCTCCCATTGGACCCACTAGGGGCCTCTTGGTCCCTGTGGTTGCTGCGCCTCTATGCTAACATTATTGTGGAAGTGGATGTTATTGTTGAATGAGCCTTAGCTTGCTCTGGGTGTCCCCAGTGCCACTTTGGAAAAGTAAATTCTCAAAAGCCCCTTTCTGATTGTGCATAGCCTTCCTGCATTTGCTGCTAAAACCTTGCCCCAGGGAAGAAGCCTGAAGACTGTCAAGGGAACCTACTTTTCATGTGGGCTTTTATGCAATTTTGCCTTGCGTAAGAGTTCCTGTTGCGAAATAAAAATGCACAGCCTTTTCTTCTCCTTTCATTTGAAATGGTCCTTTCACGTGGAATGGTTGGGTGTTCCTGCCTCCTTTCCGAAACCCCATGTTAGTTCCTAATTCCCCCAATGACAAGGTGAAGTAGCAGATGATGGAGCTTTCAGCCTTTCCTCTGTCTGTCTCTCCTTATCTCCCACCGCTATGCCACTGCCAAGCCTCTGTCCCTGTCAAACAAACTGGCTCCCCATGATGCGTGTCTGCTTGGACCTAGTCAAGTGCTGCTGTGCTGTCCTGGAAGTCCCCCACAAACCTGAAATAGTATTGGGTTCCTTCCTGCTGCTCTGCTACAAAATGCAATGCCAAGGCTCCTTTATCAGTGGAGCTTCTAGCTCAAGGCCAGAGGAAGCATTGTGCTCATGTCTAGGCCTAGCCTACCTGTGGCTGTTCTGTCCATTACGTATAAATACAAAAGTGAGTCCAATTTTGAGTATGTCCTAATATCTCAGGTATCAGCTTTCATCCTAAGTATATCTTTGCTCTCTCAGGAGCTGATTGCTATTTGCTCTCCCGTAGCTTATAGCTATACATGTATATATATACTTGTATTCATAAATCTTTTACAGCCTCTTAGGGATCTTTTTACATTTTCTGCCTTTTATATCTCCTGGGACAGCAATGTCTACTATTTTCTTTTCTTTTTTAAATTGAGACAGGGTTTTGCTCTGTCACCCAGGCTGGAGTGCAGTGGTGCAATCATAGCTAACTGCAACCTCAAACTCAAGGCAGCCATCCTCCTGCCTTGGCCTCCCAAAGTGCTGAGATTACTGATGTGAGTCATTATGCCCAGCCCACATTTATTTCTTAAGTTTAGTTCATTTGAGTTAACTCAATGGATGGATTCTGTGTGTCTTCAGACGGGGCCTGGATGGGCGTAGCCAACATCTGCTAGCGTGGGTCTCATTTCTGCCTTGGGGAGCCAAATCTCAAAGGACACTGCCCCTCATCCTAGCTTGGCTCCTAGTTTGTCCCCTGGTTGTCTTTGCCTTTTAGGAACTGAAGGACCCAGTTTTCATCTGCCTGTCCCTTGGGTCCCTCCAGAGGCTGCTGGTGTCTGGGGCTTCTGCGCATCCACTGACTGCTTTTCTGGTGAACAGACCTGCTCAGGATATTTCAGGCTCAGGCATGTCATGTTTCACGTGCTGGCAGAATGTGGGCCTCCTGTTCTATTTCTATCCCCTTCGGGGTGACATACCTCTTCAGATACTTAGCCACGATCCGCAGCGCGTGGATAGCCCAAATGTCGCTGATTGGGTTGCTGCCCTGGTATGCAGGCCGTGTGATGGGATTTGAAGGGCAGGGGCTCCGCAGGTGGTAGGGCAGGGCAGTGTATGACTCCAGGGCATGGCTAACAAGAAATATTGAAAATACACAGATGGAAAGCGTGGTCTTCCTCCTTCCCTCCATTTAGATGACAAACTGTCTTGGAGCTGTTTGGCACTCAACCCACGGTGGATATATTACCTAACACTGATGATCACAGTACATTCTACCAGCCCACCTCTTGCCTACAACAGCCATTACTTATAATATAAATTAACACAGTTGAGTTTACATTAACAGCATTACAGTATTTTTGAACAGTATGTATAAGATTACATATGGACCTTTTCTAGTGTCAATACATTTTTATGGTGTTGAATTATATATTTGAGCCACAAAAAAAGCACTGAATCTAAAAAATGACTTCCTTGTGGAAGATATTTACCATTTTATACCTTGCATTGATCAAATACCATATTGCCAAAGGTGGGTCATAGCTACACCAGACTCCTATGAAAATTACAGTGTAATGAGCGAGAACATAGACCTTGGGGTCAGCTGCCCAGATATCAATCCTGGAGCTAGATATTTCTGCTGTGGACCTGGTGTGAGGCAGTATCCTTCTTGTGACTCTAAGACAGGGATAAATAATAGTACTGGTTCATGATGTCGCTGTGAAAATTTGATGAGTTGACACATGTAAAGTATTTAGAATAGTGCCTGGCACATTGTATACCTTAGTATTCACTATTATTATTAATTCTTGGCCTGAAGAAAAAGCAGATCTTTTCCTCTCATGTACCCTAAACTCAGAGTTTGCTATTTCAAGAACTAAGCTTCAAAGCTGCCTCCACCTGCCGGTCTGCCATGGCTTCTAGCCCATCAACTGCAGAAGAGAACAGACATCACCGTCTAGATCAGTGATGCACTGGAAACAGTGTAACATGAACTATGGTTCGCATGAATTATAGTTTTAGTATAATTCCCCATGAGGGCCTCTCTAGTGTTTCTGGGACACTCTCCTTTCACTTGACTGTGAAGGGAGATGACACCATGTTTTGCACGAAGTATAACTTTCATTTTCCCTAGAATGGAGGAATTACTCTCTTCTACATATGAGAAGCAGATAATGTTTTTTGGACAAATCATTAGAAAATTGTTTTGGAAATTAGTTTGTAGATGGATATGAAGGCCTTGTGGTTCTAAGCAGGGAATGTATGAATAATGCAAGAATGAGGTGTCCACATGGGGAAGTTGGGGTGGCCGGTGAGGCCACTGTAGTCAGAGTGTTTCCTCTGTCTTGCAGCACATCTAGACTGCATCTAGATCCCAAATCCAAGCGCAGATTTGTTTCTCAGGGGCGGACTCACTGGGCTGAGCTCATAGGAACTACGTGTAAAGCCTGGAAGTCAGCTTAATACTTTATGACAAGAAACGTAACTGCTGAGCAGACATCTGAGTCTTCAAGATGGCACCTTCTCTCCCTACAGTCAAGCCGTAGGATGGCCACTTTATGATCAGAAGTCCATGGAGTCCTAATGAGGGGAGTTATCTCGAAGATTTAATACATGGCTTGTCTACCTTCAGAATAGGCCACTGGGCCTTAAGGGCAGATTCCTCGGGCCAGGTGTTCTTTCCTTTGGGCAGTACTTGAAAGAGCAACTGCCATTATTCTCCTGCCTTCTGAGCCCACTCCCGACTTTGATTGACAGTGAAGTCTTTGGGCCTGTGAGTTACCCACTTAAGGGTGACTGCTTTGGGTCATGATGTATTTATTATGCACTTTACAGTTAGGAAGGATAATCTCATTCCCCTCATTTCCAGGTTATTAGGGGACAGCTCATCAAAGTTCTGACAATATTGACCAGAATGGAGTTAGACACAATTTTCTACAGTCTCTTGGCAGGCAGCATAACATAGTGAGGGAAGCAGAACGTGGCCCTGAGGGACCTGGATGTGAGTTCTGACTCTGTCACCTCCTGCTTGTGTGACAAGCAGTATACAAGTACTTAGGATGTGACAGTCACTGTACAGGGATGTGCAGGCATGTGCCACCATGCTCGACTAATTTGTAAAAAACTTTTTTTGTGGAGACGAGGTGTCACTTTGTTGCCCAGGTTGGTCTCAAACTCCTGGCCTCAAGTGATCCTCCTACCTTGGCCTCCCAAAGTGCTGGGAATACAGGCGTGAGCCACTGTGCCCAGCCTGCACTGTTTTTAAAATACGTACCACTGAGGATGAAAACATACTGTGACGCCACACATTTTAAGATATGTCCTGATTTCGGAGGTGTTAAAATGTGAAAAAAATGTGCACGTGCACATAGATGAACGAGAGTCATTTGGCACATGCTGAATGTGAAGTGCCTGTGGGGACTTTATGAGGCCTGGAGCTCAGGAGCAAGGTCTGTGATAGAAATACTGATTGGGGGCCATCGGCACAATGCAGCTGAAGCCGAGGGAACATACAGTAAGACTATGGGCAAGTCACTAAACATCTCAAACCCAGTTTTCTTGTTCAATAAAACAAAGGTCCCGTATCACACAGAGCTGCAGTGAAGTGGCGATGTATGTGAGGTGCTGACACAATGTACATGGTCTGGGGGTGCTCTGGAGGTGTTAGCTATGTTCCCTGCCCTCTTCCATGACATGAAGCCTTGGGCATTGCCTAGTTAGTGAGGCCATAAAGGTAGCTGGTGTGTCCCTGAGACACTGCACACCAGCTCCAACTGCCCCCTTAGTGGCATCCCTATGGCCCTGGTTGTGGCTGGGGGGGGTCCATCCTGAAGAGCAGGTTTGTGGCCCACACCAGATGTCACCTAGTCACCAACCTCTAAAGCTTGAATGTTTTGATTTAGGACAGGGGGTAATGACAGCCAAAGTTAGGGGTGTTGTGGGGTGCTAATCAATGAATACTTAGCATGTGCTTTGAGCAACAAAATACTGTCCATAGACCCAGTACTAAAAAAGCCCCTCCAGGCAGCACCAGCACTTACCAAAGCACATCAAAGCCACTGTTGGCGACCACTCGGGCAGGCATGTGGAGGGTGTGCAGAGGATCAATCAGTCCCAGTGTGGGTTTGATGGCTCTCGAAGCGATGCCTAAAATATAAGGATTTTCAGTAGAGGCTGAAGCCATGGGCATCATTTTAAGAAGGCAAATGACTTCAGGATAATAAATCACCCTAAAAATAAAAATATGAGAAAAGGTTCATTTTCATGTAGTGAAGCAGCAAGGAGCAGCAGAAAGTGATTTAGAGTCAGAAGCCTGGGGTTTTCAGTGGTGTGCTGGAGCTGGCTCCTCCTGGTTTCCAAGGGCCATGTGTATGCATCTCTTTCCAACTCTTGGATGAGTGATGTCATTGGCCATGGTGAGAGTATTTACACCACAGAAATGGGCCAACACTACAAGTCAGGGCTTACTTGTTTATTATTAAATTCCAGAGAGCCAGTTTACTAGTACACCACTGGTCCTCTCTCTGCAACTTACTTTGTGTCTTTGGGCAAGTCACTTAGCCTCTCTGAGTTCTCTATAAGATTAGACTATAATAGCACAGGGCCTCCAGCTCTCATTGAGCTGTCGTAGGGATCAAATGGAGAATATTAGGTAAAAGTCTTTAGAAACTGTGAGGTAGAATGTAAGTGTTGGCCATTATTATCGTCAACGTAAGAAATGTCAAAGGATAGTTCAATTTAATTTTAAAAAGAAAAGTTACTAAAAATGTGCAGTTAAATGTCAATTTATTCTGCTACAAAGATCTGAAAGTAGGATATTGAGCCAGACTAAAAAGAGAGACATTTCTACCACATTATCCAAGAGTCCACGACAGAGAAGACAGCATAAAAATGACTAAGAAGACAGAAAGCAGAACAGAGGTTACCTGGAAAAAGGACTGGAGGGATTGCTGGGACGCAGCATGAGGAAACTTTCTGGAGTGATGGGAATGTTTTGTATCTTGATTGGGGCGGTGGTTACATGAACATATATGTTTGTCAAGGCTCATCAAACCAGAGTCTTAAAATGTGTGGATTTTATTATACAAAAATCACATCTCAATAAAGTTGATTTAAAATGGAAAAAATACATCAGAGAAAGGAAACAGTCATTTATCATTGATATACAGTCACTAACTTGGGCAGAGAATAGCCAATTAAGATTCATGGCATTTCAATATGCTTTCAGTGGTAATTCTCAAAAAGAAGTTTATTACATTGTTTCACATTTTTATATGTACTTGGAAAAGGAAAGAAAATGTGTATATATACATACCCTTTCCTTGACTCCTTGATTTTTTCCCTTTCTTTTTAACCTTGATAGAAAATATTTAACATATTTATAGGGTACATGTGAGTATTGGTTACATACATAGAATGTGTGATGATCAAGTCAGGTTATGTGGGATATCCATCACTCTGAGTACTTTTGGGGAACATTTCAAGTCCTCTCTTCTAGCTACTCTGAAATATACAACACATTGTTGCTGACTATCATCACCTTACTCTGCTATAGAACATTGGGGCTTATTCTAACTCTATCATAACTGCTTGATTTTTAAATATTAGGATTTAAAGAAGAGTGTGGAGTTGAAAGGCAAGAGAGATAATTCAAAATTATGGGCAAAGTTCTTACCAGTTTTTACTTTCAAGTGTTCATAGTCAAAAATGGCAACCCCAGTAGTTTCACTCCCGGTTCCTGAGGTAGTTGGCACTTGAACAAAATAATATTAATTTTAATAAAGCATCTAAATAAAGGTTAGTGGAGATACCTAATTCAGCCTTAGGACTGAGGAACAAAATTAGAGAAGGAAACTTTGCTGACCCTCTTGTCTGCATGATGTATATGAATTAACATATACATATGGAAGCCTGACATGTATGATGTCTATGTCTGAATTAACATGTATGTAAATCTAACATGTAGGATGTCAGTGTCTGTGTTATCATGCATGTAAGTCCAGTGTGTATGATGTCTGTATCTGCATTAACAGGCATGCATGAGGTCTGTATCTATATTGGCAGGCATGTATGTTTAGCACGTACATTGATGTCTGTGCCTGCATTAATGCACTTGTATGTTTGACATGTATCATGACTGCTGGATGAATGTTTATGTTGTTTAATATGCATAATATCTGTGTCTATATTAATATGTATGTATATTTAATATGTATGTGTGACCTCTGTATCTGTGTTAGCATGCATGTATGATGTCCATGTCTGCATTAACATACATGCATGTTTAGCATGCATGTGTGTTTAATATGCATGTCTGTGTCTGCATGAACATAGTCATGTTTAATATGCATATTGCCTGCTTCTGCATAAATATGAGTGTCAATATGTATGGTGTCTGTACTAACATATATGTGTGTTTAATATGTATGTGATCTCTGTATCTGTGTTAACATGCACGTATGATTTCTGTGTCTTTGTTAACATATATGTATGTTAATCATGCACATGTGTGACAACTGTGGTGTATTAATAGCAGTGAGCTCTGGGAACTTCAGGCTCCTTGGGGGCCAGAGCTTAAGCAGCTGCAGCTGGGTCAATGCAGGCTGCCCGGCACCTCTGGTAACAAAACTCATATTTGCTCTCCCTAAAAGACATCTTTATTCCCTCTTGGCAGCAAGCACAGTGACGCTCTGCCTTTGCTGGGCTCCGTGGTTTTGTGGTTCTGTCAAGTTTCTAAACTTTACTAATCACCCCTCTGTGTGATGCTGACACAGTTTCACCAGAGGGTTCCATTTGCCAGACACCAATTATGCTGCTCCCTGCTGATCCCTCATTCACAACACAGCAGTTCATCTGCCATCGACTTACTCACATCCCATCACAAGGCCTCTTCACAATGGGCAGGAGAGGGGAGAAGAAAGGGCAAAACTTTAAACTGAGGATATGTCCCAGTTACCAGTTAGTGCATGTTAGCTATAAAACTTTAAATAGTAATATGCTAGCAGCCATAAAAATGGCAGAGAAGAAAAGACCAGAAAATCTCAAGGTCCCCTGCGGAACAAATGAGCTATTCTGATTTGGATTTGTATGTCTGTGCCCTGGGTAGCCACAGAGCAGATGTCACCCAGAGTGATGGGCCATGCTGGCCACATGTCCCAGGGAAGAGACAAAGCCTGAGGTCAGCTGAAGAGCCATTATGTAGAAGAAAGGGTTGAGTCAACACCAGAAAAATAACAGCTAATGTTCTCCTTAAACTCTACAGTGGCTGGCAAAACAGAACAAAACAGAGAGCAGTTTAGAGGACAAAGCTGCTAACAGAGGGATCTCATCATATGTCAGTGATGACCTTCCCCCTTTTCCACATGGTGACCCCATAGCTTAAATCTGCAAACTTTCCTTCCACTGACCCAAATTGTCTTTATCTATACAATAACAAAGATCAGAATTTTAAAATGAATGATTGGTCTCCAAACAAGGCATTGATTTGAAATGAACAAACCAGAAAACTTTAGAAATGTATATGTTAAAAGGACTGGCTTGCATCTTTCTTAAGACCTTTTGCTAACTGCAAAATAAAACAAAGAAATAAACAGTCTTTACCTGCAATCAGAGGCTTAAGAGGCACAGACACAGGCTTTCCCTTGCCAATGGGGGCATTGACATAATCTAGGAAATCAGAATGAGGGCTGGATGCATACAGATTAGCAGCCTTACAGGTGTCCATGGTAGAGCCGCCACCGACAGCAACATAGGCATCAAAAGCTCCCTTTTGGGCAAACTCAATAGCTTCCATGAAGCTTGGAGAAGGGAAAATAAAAATCATGATGTTATATTTTTCAGAAATAAATTGCCATGCCATTAACTAAGGCTTGGGGTAAGTTTTGTGGGTTTTTTTTTTTTTTTTTTTTTGAGAGTCTCACTCTGTCGCCCAGGTTGCAGTGCAGTAGCACAATCTTGACTCACTGCAACCTATGCATCCTGCATTGAAGTGATTCTTCCACCTCAGCTTCCCGAGTAGCTGGAATTACAGGTGCCTGTCACCATGCCTGGCTAATTTTTGTATTTTTAGTAGAGACAGGGTTTCACCATGTTGGCCAGACTTGTCTTTAACTCCCGACCTCAAGCAAACTGCCCGCTTTAGCCTCCCAAAGTTTTGGGGTTACAGGCGTGAGCCACTGTGCCAGGCTGGGGGCAAGTTTTAATCAACAGTTAGCTTCTGCTTAAAGAAACAATAACAACAATACAAGAATACCTTGCATCCGTTGGTTCCACTCTCACATTATCATAAACCGTAAAGGGGATGCCATTCTTCACTAGGGAATCCATAGCTACTTGCACAGGAGGGAGCTGGGAAAGGTTCTTGTCTGTCATCAAGCACACATTTTTAGCACCCATGTTTTGTAGGTCCTACAAGAAAACCTATGTTAGGTTCAACTGCACTAGAACTGCAATAGACTCTTCTGGCAAACTCACATTGTACATTTTTAAAAATAGAGGACGTGATTGTTGTCAGTTAGCATGTGTCTTATGAGATATGTAACATTTACAGTAGGAGACTGTAGACATCTCGAATACTTGCCATTCCCACTTCGTTTGTAACTCCTGCCCCATATCTAATATTTGAAACAGCCATCTGAAAAAAATAAAAAGGTTTAGATGTAGGGAGTATTTGAGAGTTGACCAATCCATTTCTAAAAACCTGAAATGGTTTCCTGTTGCCTAGAGCATAGAGTATACACTCCTTAGCATGGTCTTCCAGGTCATCTTCCGTCTGGTCTCACTTAAAGAAGTGTGAATGCAACACACTTCCTTCAGCAAACCTCAGCTCCTGTCACATTTGAATGACTTGTCTTTTCCCAAACACATCATAAACTCTCAATTGTTCCCTTAGCTTCAAATGCCTGCCTTCCTCTATCTCCACCCGTAAAATAACTCTCAAATGTCGTACTTTCTGTTCATCCACCCACCCTTGCATACCTGCCACCCAGCCAACGCTACTGTCTTCTATATTCCAGGCACTGTGTAGGCTCTGGTAACTCAACTATGAATAAGAGACACATGGCCTCATAAAGTTTACAGATGAGAGAAAGGCTTTTACACTGATGGACGATGGGTCATGTTTGGCCTGAAATATGTTTTGTTTGATCTGTGTTATGTTTAAATTTCTTTTTTTTTGAATTGACTAATAACTCTTAAAAATTAGAATAAAAAAACTTAATAGGACTATCTGAATTTCACTTTCTCTTGAATAATACAGCAAACTGGGAATGCATTCCCATATGGCAGTGATCTTATGAGGTTGAGTGGAGTCACACCTTAGATGGGGCCTGTGTCTTCAGTGAGCTCGGCATGGTATCACCCAGCCTGGTCATCTGTAGGTTAACCATCGGGCCCCCGGTGACATTTTAATTAGTAATTCCTGAAGCCGAGCGCAGTGGCTCACATCTGTAATCCTGGCACCTTGAGAGGCTGAGGTGGTTGGATCACCTGAGGTCAGGAGTTGGAGACCAGCCTGGCCAACATGGCAAAACCCTGTCTCTACTAAAAATACAAAAATTAGCTGGGCATGGTGGTGTGCACCTGTAATCCCAGCTAGTCAGGAGCCTGAGGCAGGAGAATCGCTTGAACCCAGGAGGCGGAGGTTGTAGTGAGCTGAGATCACACCACTGCACTCCTGGGTGACAGAGCGAGACTGTCTCAAAAAAAAAAAAAAAGAAAAAAAAAATCCTGGACTAGGAGGAGACAGGGACTTAAACAAATAATTATAAGTAGTTATGTAATTACAGTGTGACAAAAATGCACCAGAATTGTTACTTCACTTTGACCTCTTTTGGGATTGTTATCATTACAAAACTAAAGGTTTAACATATAACATATATATAGCAGAATTTGTAGAGCTGGGAATTTATCCTATTTTAGTGACTGTACAAAGACAGCACTCTAGACATTAGCCATGATCTCAGAAGGTTTATATTCCATTATACTAGCCAGGTACTTTGCTAAATATGGTCCGATCAAATAGAGATTATGGAACATGAATTAATAGTAGATTTAAAATAAAATAATTCATTAGCAAAATATTCTAGTTTTATTTTTTCTGGTCATTCATAAAAGAAATAATGGATTGAGTGAATATACCTCAAAGGCATAATCTGTTGTTTTCCCAGAAGGTGAAAGTCCAGGGGCTAGAAATGTAAAATTTAGCATCAAAGTGAGTCTTTAAAATAAAGCATAAATATTGTTATTTGATAGTAAAATCCAGCAGTGAACATAAGTATTTCCTTTGAAGTCTTACCGAAAATATATTGTTTTCAGGTTTCACTGTTGCACATCAAATTAAAATCAATACCTGCATTTTAAGATAGAATGTAATGTGGCCGGGCGCGGTGGCTCACGCCTGTAATCTCAGCACTTTGGGAGGCCGAGGCTGGCAGATTACCAGGTCAGGAGATCACGACCATCCTGGCTAACATGGTGAAACCCCGCCTCTACTGAAAATGCAAAAAAATTAGCCAGGCGTGGTGGCGGGCGCCTGTAGTCCCAGCTGCTCGGGAGGCTGAGGCAGGAGAATAGCTTGAAACCAAGAGGCAGAGGTTGCAGTGAGCCGAGATCATGCCACTGCACTCCAGTCTGGGCAACAAAGTGAGACCCGCTCTCAAAAAAAAAAGAATGTAATGCTAACTTGAGGCTAAATTTGTTAAAATAATAAAACATTTCCTCCATTATAATTAAAATATGTGTTTGAAAATATAATGTGTAACAATCCTCTAGAAAAAAAATCCCCTAGTCTAGAGTTGGGTTACTATTAGAAAACAACTACTAGAAAGTTCATGAATTAGAGACTTGCTTACACTTCTTATAGCAACTGTGATAACTTGTTTGAATTAATTTTTTTAATTCATAGGGATAACTTACCACAGTAAGATATTTACATTTCTCAAGCTTATGCATATAAAAAACGTATTTATCTTGGTGAAATTTAATAAACTTTTTTTTTTTTGAGATGGAGTTTCGTTCTGTCACCCAGGCTAGAGTGCAGTGGCGGGATCTCGGCTCACTGCAACCTCCACTTCCCAGGTTCAAACTCTTTTTTTTTGAGATGGAGTTTCGCTCCATCACCCAGGCTGGAGTGCAGTGGCAGGATCTCAGCTCACTGCAACCTCTGCCTCCCAGGTTCAAGGGATTCTTCTGCCTCAGCCTCCCTAGTAGCTGGGACTACAGGCGCGCACCATCATGCCCAGCTTATTTTTGTATTTTTAGTAGAGACAAGGTTTCACCATGCTGACCTTGTTATCCACCCGCCTCAGCCTCCCAAAGTCCTAGGATTACAGGCATAAGCCACCGTGCCTGGCCTAACAAACATTTTTATAAGGTGCTATTTCTTTGCAAAGGATTAGGTTTTAATTATGGTAAAAATGATTTTCTGTCATATTGGAACAATGAAAGGGACCTAATTAAAGATTTTTATCCTTGTTTTTATCTACTTATTTATATCAATACTGGTCAGTCATAAGATAAAGTCTACAGAACAATTTTCACTATGCTTTTTCTTTTTTAAGGAAAATAGATCAGAACTAGACAACAATCTACCTTCAGCTCCCTGGGTGCAAAGGCACCCTTAACCAAAACTCACATTTATTTGATTCCTCTAGGCTTAAAAAAAAAAAAAAAATCTGTCCAGGTACAGGAGCTCAAGTCTATAATCCCAACATTGTGGGAGGCCGAGGTGATAGGTTTGCTTGAGCCCAGGAGTTTGAGGGTACAGTGAGCTATGACTGTACCACTGTACTCCAGCCTGGGTGACAGAGGGTGACCCTGTCTCTCTCTGTGTATATAAAAATCTATTATTCCTGTTACTAAATTTTAGATAAAGACATAAATATGACCCTAGGAAATAATGAGAATATCTTTCTGTAAATTATTAATTTTAATCCCTCAAATAGGAAATTAACTAATTGTTGAAACCAACTAAAAATTCGAGAAAATCAGCTGAAGACAAAATTCTGTATATGTTCAGAAGGGCCTTAAAAGCTGGACATGTTTCTGCCTCATAGATGGTGGTTAATGATGGACAGGGAGGTCCCTTGGCTTGTCCTGAAGGGTAAGTCACTCCTTGGGCAAGAGAAAGCCCTTGGTCGGTTACTCTCTCTGTTCTAACTCCCCAACCGGCTTCTCTGTGGGTTTCTGCTTAGGATCCTGGATGGTCAGCCTCTTTCCTTTCCAACTCTTGCCTTAATGTTTAGATCTGACCTTAGAAGACACAAAATCAGTGGTTGTGTCAGTAATCCATGTGACATTCTAAGGACATGCTGAAACTATGTTGAGTTTCCTGCTGCTCTGTGGACCACAGTGTTTGGCGTTTGGTAATGATTAAGATGTTGTGGTAACTGAAACTTTGTTATTATTTTTAAATATTAGGAAATACAATATTATTTTAAATACAATATTATTTTAAAGATTGATACAAACAAGTTTTGTTTTTCTTTCTAGGAACCACCTTGTTCTTTAACCTCCAGTTTTTAGAGATGTTTTAGAACCTTCCAAAGACTTCACCTTGATTAATTCTGTTTGACCAACTCAGACATTCTTAAAATCCTATCTGCATTTTTAGACTTGGCAAGTAATTAAAAGAGAAAAGCGTTATAAGTAGCATTAAATACATATTTGAGACAAACACGTGATTAGTAGTATACATTCAGCTAACTTTGTATAGAGTTACATGTTATCAATTTCACAGTGAAATGGTAACTGTTTTCATGGACCTTGCTCTCACATGCCTTGGTTTTCTTTACATACACTACCAAAATGTATTATAATGTTAAATGCAGAAACCAAAATTGTGGCTAGTTTAAAAATACAGAAGTATTACCTTGGGAGTAAGTATGAGAATGAGTTGGGCACTGGCACCTAGGGAAAATAAAAACGACAGCAAAAAAAACCTAAGGTGAAAATAGAGACCAAAAAATGAAAAGCCTTAAGCTAACTCAGATTGTAGTCTAGTGCTACGATGCTATCAAACTGGTAGTTCCTGGCAGACACTGTACAACAGAAAAAATATATAGAGACCCAGAAATCACGACGGACAAAAAGTTGACTCAGCGTCTTCCCAGCGCTGTAGCAGCATTCTTTCACGAATTCATTTACTCAAGCAATTCCTATCAAATGCCTGCGGGCAGCTGAGATAAACGCTCTGGGGGTACATGCAAGTTTAAGATGGGGGTCCCTGGTCTCCATGAGGCCCCAGCTCTTGCTGGGTTAGGAGCTGGGTTAGGGTCCCTGGTCTCCAAATCGGCCCAAGGTTAACTCTACCCGTGCGCCTCTTCTTACTTACTACCCTATGCTGGGAACTTGCCTTGTGTATTTCCCAGTGTCTTCAAGGTGGCTAATTTTTCTTCAAGCAGGCTCTAGACCCGAGCCTCCAGGAAACCTTCCTGGACCCAAAGACCTCCCTGGTCCCCATCTTTCTCTACCCAATTGCAGCCCCGGGCTCCGAGCGCTCCTCCATCCCCGCCGCGCGGCTCCCCAGCGGCCCCAGCAGCGCGCACACCCGGCGCATCCCGCGCTCCAAGGCGCCACCGCATCTCACTTCTCTCAGTCGGCTTCTCTACAGATTACCCACGTCCTCCTCTTTGGAAACCCTCCCTCCCCTGGCTCTGGTCTCCCTTTCTGTCCTGGTTGTCTCCTATTTCTTGGACAGTCCCAGTCCCTCCTCTGGCTTCTCTTTCTCCTGCCCCCTCTCTGATCGAGGCTGGGAAGACGGTTTTATGTTTCGTTGGGTTGCGCAAAGAACCTTGTCCAGTGGTTGGGTCTCGGTAGATACTTGAGTGCATCACTTCCTCCTCCCCGCCAAAAATTCAAATCTGGAATTAAAACACCCGAGGGGGAAGGTTAGGGAGGAAGGAAAAGGGTTGATCTCAGTGGCCGTCCAGATCTCAAAAATTCGAACTGTGAAGTCAAAGCAGACCAGGCGGCGAGTGAGAGCTGGCGCGAGTCGCGGCCGCCATCTAGTGGTCCCCGCTGCGCGCGCCGGGGGCGAGGACGCGGGCCAGGCCAGGCGTGTCCCTTCACGGTGGGCTTTGGTTGGAGGACTTTCCCTGCTTTACACCCTCCAAGGACAAGAAAAGTGAGGTAGAGGGAAGGAAAAAAAAATCCAAACTCAAAGCTTTCCAACGTGAACGCTCCTGGGAGCACTTGCTTCTTGCCGCACCCCCCCCCCCCCCTTTTTTTTTCTTCCCCAAGCTCTGAGGCTATCTCAATTCATTATTTCTACTTCTTACTCGCGGTTTGTATCCTGTCCCCTCTTGCTTTCTCGGGACCTCTACCTGTCCTGTATTTCCTAGTTCTCCCCCTCACTCAATCTTTTTCAGCCTATTGAAGAGTTTTGCGCCTGAAACTTTTCCACCTCCTACCCCCTCTGGCGGGCTCACTCTCCCTCTCTCTCCTCCCGACCTACATTTGCTGGCTTCGTTTCTGGGTCTCGGACACATTCCTTGGCCCCTGAAATCCGGCTGCTGTGTCTGCAAGTCCAGCTGTCCGGCTGTGTCCTCACTTCTCAGACCTGGTAGCATCTCATTCTAGTAGCGTAAAACGCATGGTCACACCTTTTTGGGCAGGGGGACTTTTTCCTGGCTTCCAGGAGCCCTACTTGCCTAGGCTTCCTCTAATTGTTCTTTTACTGGCTCCTTTTTCACTCTGCCTATTCCTTAAATGTTAGGTTCTGTCCTGGGCTGCCTTCAGCCATTCTGACCCTTCCTCCTCCCTCACCCTTTAGAGCTCATTATGCACTAAGGCCTCAAACATGTCTGTACCCAACTCCACCCACTTTTCCTGGGACCCTGCCACTCTCTGGTTCCAACATCACCTCTCAAGTGGATGACTACCAAATTCCCAACTGGCTTCTCATGGCTCCACCTCTGCCACCTCTATTCCCACACTGTAGTCGGGGCATATTTCCAATGATGTCACTCCCTTGTTGAAAGCTGCTTCAATGGCTCCCCATGGCTCTCACATAAAGTTCAGGCCTGCCCCTGCCTGACTGGCCCCTCAACTCACTCCATCTCTGGGTTTGGGCTCCTGCAAAAATTAACTTCTTTCTTTTCCTTGCATGAGCCACAGTCTCTCTCTCTCCTCCAGAACTTTGCCCTTATTACATTCTCTGCCTGCAACATACTTTCCTTCCCTCTTCTTCTGGATAACTTTTGTTCTTTCCTGTCAGTTCCCCTGGGCAGCCTTCCCTGAGGACCGAGGCTGCAGAGAGACACCCTTTCTGGAGCCTCCCTTCGCGTTAAAATGTAGTACAGTGGTGCTGTTTTCCTGCTTCTATCTGCCTGTGGATTGTGAATTTAGTGATGCCCAGGCAGGATCTACTGTTTCTCACAACTTTATCCCCTGTGGCTAGCACCAAGTAAGTGCCAGACACAAAATAAGCCTTTTGTACTGATTAAATGAGCGAGTAAATGAATAAATAAGTGAATGTAGACATTTTCATTCCCCTGACCCTCTCCTCTCTTTTCCTGGCATGCCAAGACAGAGGGCCTGAACTGGAGTGGGGGAACCAGGCTGTGGGTTCCTGCCTTCTTAGGATGGCCTGAAGGCACTGATGGGCTTCTTTGGACTCCTTCAGAGAAGCAAAGTGAGGCTTGGGGAGAGCAAGGACCTCATCTACCTACCCTCCTGGCTCTGGCCCCATTATTCTGGCTTCCCTCTTGATATCGCTGATTACCTCTTAGCCACACTCTCAGCAAAAGCTAATCTGTCTCCCATTCCCTAAATCGCATCCCCCCTCATCTACTCAAGAACTGCCAGCAACTCTCCCTTCTCCCCTCTAAATCATCACAATCCCCCTTCCTGTTAGACATTATCTATCAGCAACCAGCATTTTTTTTTAGCTTATTCATAAGCACATTTCCCCCATCTTATATAACAAAACCAGAAACCTCTTGTTCCTCTTTCCTCTCCCACTCCCACTTTTACCTCTCTCCTTCCCTTCAGCGGGCTATACCCATTCTTCCGATTTATCTTCTCCCATTCCCTCTGGAACCTCCTGCCATCACCTTTTATCCCGACTCAACTGACCAACTTCCCAGCTCACTAATGCCCTCTACCCAGCTAACCACCCTGCTCAGTTCAGTTCTGTCCTCACGGTACCCAATGTGTCAGCGGCATTCTCCTGGTCACTCCTTCCTTCCTGGAAACATGTTCTTCCCTGGCTTCCAGGGCACCACTCAGTTTTCTTCTCACCACACTGGCTGCTCTTGGCTTCATTTCTTTTCATGATTTTTGACTCCAAATGCTGGAGGGCTCAGGGGTCAGTCCTGGAACATTTTCTTTTCTTTCCACTCTTAGTAACCTCCCCTGGTCTCATGGTCTCAAATACCTTTGATGCTGATGACTTCCAAATTTATCTTTCTGGCTTGGGCATCTCTCCTGAACTCCAGGTTCACCTGCTCACTTGGCATCTCTGCTTGGAAGTCTATGAAGCGTTAACATTTTCCCTATGGAAGACTGAGTTCCTGGTGTTCTCTCAAGCCTGCTTTTCCCACAGCCTTCCCCATCCCCATCAAATGGCAATTTCATCCTTCCAGTTGTTCGCGCCAGAAAATCTTGGGGTCACCCTTGGCCCCACACTCCCATCTCCCCCCATTCACTCTGCTCCATACCCAGGTATGCTTCACCTCTGCATACCTTCCCTGAAAGCCACAGGGTTTGCTCTCTCCATCCACTGGTCTTTCTGCAACCATTACCTTCTCAGTGAGTGTGGTCAGCTGAGTAGTCGCTCCTGAAGATAAGGTTCTAATCTTGGAATCTGTGAATGTTACCCTATATGGTAAGAGGAACTTTGCAGATATGATTAAGAATCCTGGCTGGGCGAAGTGGTTCACACCTGTAATCCCAGCACTTTGGGAGGCCGAGGCGGGCAGATCACTTGAGGTCAGGAGTTCAAGACCAGTCTGGCTAACATGGCAAAACCCCGTATCTACTAAAAGTACAAAAATTAGCCGGGTGTGTGCCTGTAGTCCCAGCTACTCGGCAGGCTGAGGCAGGAGAATCACTCAAACCCAGGAGGTGGAGGTTGCAGTGAGCCAAGATCACACTACTGTACTCCAGCCTGGGCGACTAGAGCAAGACTCCATCTCAAAAAAAAAAAAAAAAAAAAAAAAACCTAACCTTGTCAGGTGTTGTGGCGCATACCTGTAATCCTAGCACTTTGGGAGGCCGAAGTGGGAGGACTGCTTGAGGCCAAGAGTTCAAGAACAGCCTGGGAAACATAGTGAGACTCCATCTCTACAAAAAATAAAATTAGCTGAGCATGATGGTGTGCACTGTAGTTCCAGCTACTTGGGAGGCTAAGGTGGGAGGATCTTTGAGGAGGCCAGAAATTCGAGATTGCAGTGAGCCGTGATCACATCACTGCACTCCATACTAAGTGACATCAAGACTGTGTCTCAAAAAAAAAAAAAAAAAAAAAAAAAAATCTCGAGATGGGGAGATTGTCCTGGATGATCTGTGTGGGCCCTAAATGCAATCACTCATATCCTTATAAAAGGGAAGCAGAGGGAGATTTGACCTGAAAGACAGAAATGTGAGCACTGAAGCAAGATGGGTGCCAGCTGTGAAGATGGAGGAAGGGGCTACAAGCTAAGGAACCGAAGGTATAGATCCAGAAGCTGGAAAAAAGCAAGTAAGTGGATTCTGCGGCACCTCTGAGCCTTACTCAAGAGGGAGTGTGGCCCTGCTCACACCTTGGCTTCAGCCTAGTAAAACTAATTTTGGACTTCCGACCTCTGGAACTGTTAAGAAGATAAATGTGTGTTAAACCACCAGGTTCATGATAATTTGTTACAACAGCTGTAGGAAACTAACACAGTGAGGGCTGCTCTGAACACCTCAAAAATTGCATCCCTTCCTTCAATGTTCCAGTCCACTTTATGTTCTCTTTAATAACTGTCAACAGCTAATGTACTCTCAATTTTACTAACTAGTTTGTCATCTGTCCCCTGTGCCCCATGCATGGCATGGTTAGGTTGTTTTGTTCCCTGCTGTACCCCAGAGAGAACACAGCCAAAGCAGGGCTGCACTGCACATCTCTTTTTTTTTTTTTTTTTTGAGACGGAGTCTTGCTTTGTAGCCCAGGCTGGAATGAAGCGGCCTGATCTCTGGTCACTGCAAACTACGCCTCCCAGGTTCATGTGATTCTCCTGTCTCAGCCTCCAGGGTAGCTGGGACCATGGGCACCCACCGCCCTGCCCAGCTAAGGGCTGCACATCTGGAGAGAGAATATGACTCTTGCCCTCTAGGGCATTCCCACAACCTCTCTGGCCAGGCCACACCTTGCCTCTGTCTTCTTCAGTGCTGGTTCTTTCCCCTCCATTCAGTTGTCAGTGCAGCTGCTCTACGGAATGCATTGGGCAGAAGCCCAGAGTGCATGCTCTGTCCAATAGAGGTGGCCACACATCACCCCATGCCCTAGACCACTTTTCCCCGATGAAACATGGGCCCAATGATGTCATTTTCCAATTTTCCAAGATTTTCATCGGAAATCTCCCACTTTTAAAATGTTTATCCTATTAGAAAAATAAGCACGTGCAGAAGAAAGCACCATCTTGCTACTCCTGCTGTGGCAGTGCTGCTCCCCAGGAATTCACCCTCAGCTGTTTCCTTCTAGGTTAGAGTTTTGCTAAGGCTTCAACTGTCCTCTGTACACATGGATGGATGAGTTCTCAACTCACTCTTGAGCCCCAGAACAATGCTTTCAATCACCTACTGAGGGTCTCCATCTGAATGTACCAGAAGCATGCTCAACTCAAAATGCCCTAGACTGAAGTTGCCATCTTCCTCCTAACACTAACCCTCCTACAGTCCCTGCCTTGCTAAATGAACCCACTGTTTACTTGGTGCCCAAGCCAGAAATCTCAACTCTTAACTATTCAGATACAAAATCCTGTGGATTCTAACCAACCTCTCAACATTTCTATCTTCCCAAGGAACTGCCTCTCCGTGCATGAAGCCATTATCTTTAGACTGGAGCAGGACAATGACCTCTAGTCCTTCCTCTTCACTCCACATTTCCACCAGAATGCGCTAACGCAGTTCTGATTATGCCATACTCCCTTCTCATGCAACCGTTCCAAAAACATTCTGTGTGTGACACTGATTCCATGGGATATGAATGGTGTTGTGTGACAAAGAATTCTATGACACAGGTTTAGAACCAAAAATTTCAACACAGCTTTAGTTTTTTTTGTAGCTTCTTAGACCCCTGCATGTCTAATGTATATTTTGATTCTCCAAGAGGGCGATACAGCAGTAAAGAGCTTCCCAAATTTATTTGGCCATGGAATTCTTTTGTTATGGGACATTTTAAGGTATCAATGTTTCATGGTGAGAAATACTGTTCAATGGCTTTCCATTATCTACAGGACACAATTCAAATTCCTTAGTACAGGCCTGAGAACAAGGACTGGGAAGCCAGAGTATCTGGGTGCAAATTATGACTGTGTCATTTGCTTAGCTGTGTGACGCTGGACAAATTCTTTCCCATGTCTTTATTTCCGTATCTATGAGGATGACAATACCGTATGTCACAGGGTCAGTGAAAGGATTAGAGTTACTATTATGCTGATAGTCCATTCAAAGTGTGTAGGACACTGCCTGGCTCATGGTATTAGCTATATTCTTATTCACGGTCTTTTATCAGCTGTCTTCTCCTATGAAGGTAGGTCTACTTGACTTTTGTGTCCTGGGACTGCATCTCCATCGCTGGTGTTGCTCTTCTCTCTGCCTGACATTCCTCTCCAGTCCCTCGCCTTTCCTCCTACTGATCTCCACCTGTGAGCTCAAACTTGTCCATGTTTTCCAGACAGACTTATGCACTTGCATGGTCAGCAAGTATTTGTCAGGTGACCAGGATGTACCCCGCATTTCTGCAGGGAGTCAGGCGTGTCATAACATTGAATACCCTGACTCCCCGTACATGCCAAGGAGTGTGACTCTGCGACTTCTCACATCCATCCTTCCCTTCTACACCCAGTCTGCTGTGGCCGGTTTTAGCCTCGTCCCCTCATCCCATTCCCCACTAAACCTCAAACTGCTCCAGAGCCTTTCATCTTTGTATCCCCAGAACCTAGAATAGCTTTTGGCACATAATATATGCCCAGTAAATACGTGTCAACTGCATACATGAATTTGTCTTGGCCACCATGCCAAGCTCTCCACTGCCTGCCACGATGTGGGACCAGGTCCTCTCTTGGCCTCAGTTTCCTTAACGGTAGACAGAGTAAAGGCTGCCTCATTGCGCCCTGCGAGGCTGCATCGCGCACTCTGTGACCTGGCTGTTCCGCCTGGCGCGCGGTGGGAGTTCAGGGCGGTATCCCTTTCCCCGAATTCTTGAAAGCAAGCGGAGAAGACTGAGCAGGATCCGAGCCGGTCACACCCAGGGGGCTGTGTGGGCACAGTGGCATCCTGCGGTCCCCTGCCCGCCCGCCGGCCCCGCACTCACGCTGCGCGTTGCAGTTGCCTCAGCAAGTGCGCGACCCGGGCCCGGGCGGCTGTGGCCATGGCGCTGGGAGTCCTCTACCCTCCCCGGGTCCTACACCGCCCCCTCCGCCGGCCAATCAAGAAGGCCGCTCGCCTCCCGCCCCTCGGCCGCGCCTGCCCACCCGCTCCGCCGGGTCACCTGTCTAAGCCCCAGCCCAGTCGGGCTCAGGGCCATTTTCCCACGGAGTAAGAACCAGCACCCTAGCTGCCCTAGCCGCACTCGCACCATCCACCCTAGGCATTGCCGTAGAAGGTAACTGCTCTGCAGGGCCTCGGGTCCGGCCTTAAATCTCTTTACTTATCCTCTATTTTTCACATGTTGAGGACTTGGGGAAAGGGAGAGGAACAGGGACATTCTTTTTCCATGTTTAAAGGATTTGTGAATCCTTTAAAATATTACTTTCCCTTCTGGGAGTATTTTAAGTGATCAAGACCCTGCCTTTAAACTGTTTTAACAGTAAACAAGAACCTAGCAGAGCCTGAGGGTCTTTGCTAAATACTGTGTGAATGGCTTTGCTTTTGATGAAAGCAAAATGGTTTCATCAATAGTTAAAACTTGCCATGATTAGGCTATGCTCTGGGAGGGCTTGGCAGTGCCATATCTGCCACGCCCCAGTGGAAAAGCTGATTAACGACGAAGCTCAACTTTATCAGAAAGTATCCAAAGGCAGTAACAACTAAACATGTGCATTTTTAGTAATCTGTTATTATGAAATCTGAATCCTTTACAGGAGATACTAAGTTTTATAGAAATGAATTTGAGATCAAACTGGAAGAGACTGATGGACAGGAAGAAGACCAAGGACAGCTACATAACCATTTCACCTCCTAACCAAACCAGCTCAGGCCAACTTGACCAATGAATCAAAAGATAATAATGTTCTATGAGAACACATGTACACAGGGAGGGGAACAACACACATTGGGGCCTGGGGGCAGGGGACAGAAGGGGGCAGAGAGGCTTAATACTTAGGTGATGGGTTGATGGTGCAGCAAGCCACCATGGCACACGTTTACCTATGTAACAAACGTGTACATCCTGCACATGTACCCCGGAACTTAAAAAAACAAACAAACCGATAATAATGTGTTAATTAAGAATCTTATGGGTCTGTTTCTTTCTTCCCCAAACAAAACTGTACCTGACGTCAAGCTTAAAAACAAACACACACACACACACACAACTGGGGATACAAATGTAGAGAGATTTAAGTGTTTTCTGGGTTAATGAGGATTGTTACCATTAGTCAATGAAGCCCAAATTGATCATTTACAGGAAATCCATGTGTTCAGTGTTGAAAAGCATAAAATCTTTTTAAAAAAACAGCCATTGGTTTTACTACTTTGAATATTATATTTGATACCAAAAGAAGTATAAATTTAAAAGTGGTCTCACTGAAACTATTATAATTTAATTGCTTTTTTTTTTTTTTTTTGAGGTCCCTCTGTTGCCCAGGCTGGAGTGGAGTGCAGTGGCATGATCTGGGCTCACTGCAACCTCCGCCTCCCAGGTTCAAACGATCCTCCTGCCTCAGTCTCCCAAGTAGCTGAGACTACAGGTACCAGCCACCATGTCCAGCTAATTTTTTTATTTTTAGTAGAGATGGAGTTTCACTGTGTTGGCCAGGCTGGTGTCAAACTCCTGACCTCAGGTGATCCGCCTGCCTCTGCCTCCCAAAGTGCTGGGACTCTATAGGAGTGAGCCACTGCGCCCGGCCTGTTTTGTGTTTTTTAGAAAGTAAACAAAAATAATCTGTACCAGGTATCCAGGTAACTGGCTTCATGTACAATTTCTACCCAATAGTCAGAAAGTTAAAAGCCACACTAGATAAGACATCTTTATTACTTAACCTTTAAAACAGTCACTTGCCTATCCAATTCTGAAACTGTTTTCTTTCCCTTCCCCGCACCCCCAGCTCTGATACACAAGCTTGTTGTAAAAATAATGCAGAAACATATACGTCAATCTAAGTCTGAAATATGGCCAACTCTACCTCACTCTATAGCCAAAGTTAAAAATAAAAAAGGCTGTTTAAGAATAGAACTCATTCCTGGTTTCCACCAAATTATTTCCCTAATTCTTAAATCCTCAAATAAGTTCTTAATCTCCAGCCAAAGTCTCGGTTGTGGGAAAATCATTAATTTCTGCAGTCCAACACTTACATACTCTCTTGAGGGAAGGGCAATCCTGTCCCTTTAAACTCAACGAAGGCAGCGGCCAGGTCCTTCTGAGTCCCCGTACAAGTACCTAGAACTTAGCACTTAGTATTTATAGTCCTTGGTTTTCAGTCGGGTCCGACGATGAGAAACTATTACTTCCTCCTCTTTCCTCCTGGGCGCTGTCCTCCTTTTCTCTTGTCACCCAAGCCACGCGGCCCGGAATTCATCTTGCCTCCCAAGCCCCCTTTCCTCTTCCCTCCCTGGCTGGGCGGCCCCCCTTTCCTCTTGCCCCCAGGTCCCTGCCGGCCTCCCTTTCTCTTGCCCTTCTGGCTCATTTTCCTCCTCTTGGCGGCCTCCTCCTGGTCCTCCTCCCTCATCTGTTTATTGGTGGCTCTTGTCACATCCAGCTGAGGCTTCTTGCTGTTCATGACACGAAGCAGCTCCAACTGGTTCTTTTTCTCGGCTGCAAAGTCCCCGAAAAGGGGTTGAAACTTCCTCTTCTTGCCAGAGCCCCGGGGCGCCTTCTCCTTGGGGAGGCGCTCCTGGAAGCGCCCCACAGAGGCGGTGGAGACCTTGGCCACCTGCATAGCGCGGCCCAGCTCCTCCTTACTCTGGTGTCCGGTAGGGTGCAAGCCGGCTGCGCTGGGCAGCTGCATCTTGTGCGCGCGGGCCAGGTTACGCAGCCGGTTCAGCTCGTTCTTGGCCACTCGTTCTTTCTTGGCCTGAATACGCTTGGCGAACTGGTCCTCCAAGGGGTCGGCATTGCCGGGCACCTCAATCAGCCATTCCTTGGTGTCGTCCCGGGCGCGCTGGTAGCCCCAGCGCCGCCGCCACTGGCCGCTCACCTCGTCCCACACCAGGTTGGTCTTCTTCTTGGGACGGATGCCCTTGAGGCGCGCGAACTGCTGCCAGCGTGTAAGTGGCCGCGGCCGGGGCAGAGGCTTCTCTCGCGGCAGGCGTGTGGTGGGCTCCGGCAGCCGCGCCACTATCGTCTCTTCCACGCGCTCCGTGGGCAGCTGCCACAGCTGGTTGATGAGCAATTGCGTATTGTCCCGCGCCAGGGCCCGCAGCTCGGCCTCCGGCGTGGGTCCGGCGCACCGCAGTCCAGTCGGGGGGTTCCGGTCCGAAGCCAGGAGGTTGCCCAGGTCAAACTCCAGCTCCAGCTCCTTGTGCACCGTGATGCGTTGCAACTTCTCTGCCTCGTCCTGCTCTGCCTTTGCCAGCAGCTCCTCCACGCTCTGGCCCTCCATGGCTCCGGCTCGGCTCACTCGCTTTGGGGCTGCAGCTGAAGTTACTTTTCTTACAGCGGCGGCCCAAACTCCGGCAACATAACCACGTGCAGACGCCGGGATGCCCAATCCGGAAAAGAAAGGTTCGCTTCCGGAGCGCCCGGAACCGGCTCGCCATCCGGGCAACCAGAGGAAAGGCCGGCAGAGGGCGGTATGGAGAGATTGTAGGATTAGAAGCGGGACCTTAGGCTGACGCCTGATAGAGGCGGAGCTGGCGCCAGCAGCCGGCACTACTCGTTCCAGAGCAGGATTGGGACTACCATTCCCAGGATGCAGCGGGGCGCGGGGGCGGTCCAGGGGGCGGTCCTGGGACAGTCTCGCGGACGGTCTAGAGAGGGCGGTCCTGGGGGGCGGTCTAGGGGGCGGTCCTGGGGGGGCAGTTCAGGGTGTGGTGTTAGGATGGTGGTCCGGGGACAGTCTTGGGGCGCAATCCGGAGGGGCGGTCCAGGACCAGGGCGGGTACAAATTCCTGGGACTGCCTGTGGTGTGGGTTTCCAATCAAGTGCATTTTACAATTTCTGTGTAAATCCGTTGTGAAGATGTTTAGACAATCACCCTTCTTAGGGCCAAATTGTTTCACCGGAGTCATAATTTGCTTTCAGGGTTCCTAGTTGTGGCATGAGAAACATAACATCCCACAGATACACACAGAGCTAATTGTAGAAGATTGGTTTTGTTTTGGGAGTCAGTGGCTCTGGCAATGAAGCTGCCCCGAGTGGGCGCAGGTGTGCACCGACCCTAGCGAGCTAGCTGACTTGGAGCTCCGGGGTTCTGCAGTTACAGAACCTAGTCTAGTTCAATCAGTCTAGTACAATGCTGAAACTACGCTACGCTCTGCAGTTACACTCTCCACCAGGCTCTGCAGTTGCACTGCCTAGGTTCCAATCCTGACTGTGCCACTGTTGGTCCTTCAGCAATTTTACTTGTTGAGGCCATTTTAAGGTCTGTGAGATAAGGATAAAAATACTTTCTAGGGTGGTTATAAGATAAATGAGTTAATATCTTCCAAGGGAGGGTTAAACGAGGGCCTGGAGCATATGAGTACTCGATACAAGTTAGCTAAATACCGATTATTATTTCGTTTTCGTAGGCTCTGGGAGCTAAGCTGAAGAGGCAGTGCTGCATGGTGTTCTGCAGTGGTTCTTGAGTCAAACGGCCTACAGTCAGGTATCAGGTCACAATTACTTGGAGAGGATGTTTGACCTAAAGCCTTATTTATAAATTGACAAACATGAAACATTAGTTCCTGCTACATAGTAAGAACTCAATATGTGTTAGCTATTAGTATTAACTATGTTATTAATTATTATATTAGCTATATTATTTTCACAGATGAAACAAGGAGGGCTCAGAGAGGTGAAATGACTTATCTAAAGTTATGCAACTAGGAAGTATAAGAACAAGTGATATGTTAACTCTGGCTTTAAGTCTGTAGATGTGTTCTCTGATTGTCATCCAAGCTCTTGATACTTATTAAAGTGTGGTCTGCATACCAGCAGCATAATATCCCCTGGGAGCTTGTTGGAAATGCAGAATCTCAGGCCTCACTCTAGATGTAATTTATCAGAACGTTTATTTTAATAAGATCTGTAGGTGACTAGTATGTACAT